TCTCGAATGTGAGCTTTGGACGTGTACTTTCAACACAAGATTGTTGAAGTCTGGATTTATATCACTGACACAGAGTCTCAAAGTTAATTGTCGTCTATTAGCCTTGTGCGTATTATGCGTTTTGTGCTGTGTAACAGCGTTGCAAAACGCATATCGTCACGGGGTTGTCTGTGCGTGTGTGTGTTTGTGTGTGTGTGCGTGTGTGTGTGTGTGTGTGTATTTGTGTGTGTGTTCCACATTTTGTCTCGCACTTTCAACTCGGGAGCCACAAAAGCTAGGCGGCTGAAATTTTGGTATAATGTTCCCCGCCAATGGGTGACGCGGCAAATTTAAATTCAGCCTTCCCGTACCCGCGGGTAACTCGTACGGCCCCGTGAAAGTTTTTTACGGGTAAATTAATATCTCGGAAATTACGGAGTCTAGGAGGCTGAAATTTTAGGGGAATGACCTCCTGCCCACGCTCGACCTTGCCTATTCAAATTCAGCGTTCCCGCGCTCTTAATTATTACCTACGGCCTCGTGAAAATTTGGCGGGTACACTATTAACTCGGGAATCACGGAGAGATATTCACCCTTCAAGGTTTCGAATTCAGCTTTCATGCGCTGGTGCGTGAAATTTTTAGCTGTTTTCCAATGTTTGAACTATTTTTGCATAGACTAAAGTACAAAGCACTGAAAATCATTAACAGACAATCGTTCGATGGGCTGAATTGCATAAAACGCATTATCGCACTGGCTAGTCTGGTGCGCGTTGCTATTTATTTTAGTTTTATTTATTTTCATGAGAGTGCGGAGGCGAGGCGGAGTACAAACCTCCCGTTCGTCTAGTTAAGCATCACATTTGAATTTGCTTCGCGGGTCCGATCCGGCCCGCGGTTTCGTCGGTTGCTCACATGTGAGTTAGATGGCTCGAGCTTAGACTCCATATATTTCCAGTTGGTACTTGCCGCGGAGATAGAGGCAGGTTGTCCACAACTTTCGTCCAATTATCAGTTTGCGGTGCAGCATGAATACTGCCTCGTCACAGAGCTGCTATAATCGGTTTGGTTCTCGAATGGAAACCATCGATCTGCCCTGTTTCGGCATTCGGTTGCTTGCAGTCCGGTTCAGTCCGGCTGTGGCGGTTTTTATTTCCGTTTGGATTTCGGGTGGTGCGGGGGGAGATTGTTGTGCAGGGCGCTGGTTGAATTTCGCTGCACGGCAGTTTCTAGTGGTTGAGAGTATTTTGGCAGGGTGCATGAAGATTCTGGAAAAGGCCATGAAAGTGCGTTGGGAGGGCGATCCTTTGCAATGAGCTAGCACATTCCTGTATGAGAAACCGCAAAAAGGAGAACGAGGAGTGGGGGGAGGGGCAGTGAGCAGCAGTAAATAAGAATTTGCCGTGACTGGGCAATGCGTTGCAAAAAAAAAAAAAAA